GGCAAGAATGATGCATCTTGTATAAAAACTTTTGAGTCGATGTTTTCAGATTAAGCGAGTGTTGGAAAAGACAGAGAAACATGGTTTATTAATCCCAAAAGTACATTCAATTTAATATTAACATTTAAAATGTACAGTACATATCTCTATTATTAGTTACCATCAAAGGCACGACCAGCCTGTCATTTGATTTAAACTGGAAAATACATTTTCAGTGACAAAAACACTTATGCTATTTTTCAAATAAAAAATATTATTAATTTTTGTAACACCAATTTCTTTGATTTTCATAAATATTTGATTAAAATAAAATATGCACTCTGAAAAATTATAATATAGTTTTAATGGTTTGTGATAGAATTTTCAATTGGCTCAATTGCCTTATAATTTGATCTTAATTAATATCTTAACCAGTATTTAGAGAAATATGTTGAATGATTAGAAGTAAGAGCATAAATGTGCTTTTTCTGGAACATGTTATAGGCAGTCCTTGATTTTCAGCAACTTGCACTTTCATACATAATATTTTTATATTGTTAAGTTGCTTTTTATATGTCAAACTGAGACTTTTGTACATAAAATATGGTGGTGCTTTGATAATTTTGGTCTTTGTAACAGCAGAATCACTTGTGAAAAGTATTTTCTCTTGTCTTTTTTCTATTTAAGTTATGACTTTAATTAACCTTTTAAATAACATCTTATGCATTGTAAGATATTTATTATAAAAAACTAAAACTTTCTCCTGTAATATTTTACAATTGTTCTTTTTGGTTTTCTTTTATAACACCACCCAGCTCTATTATTTGGTTTTTGTAGTTTTAGGAATGCATTGTCTGAAAGTTGGGGTCTGTCTATGTTGTTATTGATTTTAAAAACTTCCAGAAGAAATTGTAAGAGATTATTGTTGTTGTAACATTTAAGTTTTGTATATATTGTAACAAAAAAATAACAAATTAAGTTAAAAAATTATTTATAGTTTTGTAATATGATTTCATAGATATGAATTTTTTTTTATTGAAATAGATATTAAAATACAGTAGACCCGCAGTAATCCGACAAACGTTTTGCAAGGCGATGTCAGATGATCGAATTTGTCAGACTATAGAGTATTGCCGCCAATCCCTTGTAGTCTGGAACGTTTTTGAAAAGGAGTACCTTGTAATCTGACAAATTACATACTTATAAAAATGGTAAGATCAAATCTATATGTACTGCAAATATACGATATGGGACTTAGTGAATTAAACAACACAATAGATAGCATAGGGTTTATTATAAAATTAGCATCATTAATGCTATAGCACTTGCAAAAAATAATAACTAAACATATTGATGTCAATCAATTACATACAACATATGTATTTCCCATATACATACTATGTATGATCTTAATTTGAAAATGGATAAACAAATAAATTTATGGTGCATGCAAATATTCATCAATTTTCTTTTGTTTTACATTGGATAAACGCAAGAGTAAGGCCTTGTCTCTCAGTCTCTACAGAAGTAAAAGTTCATTGTAAGATGCACCATTCTGTTCAGCCCATTGCATACCGAGCTCAAATGCATTAATCACATCTTTAGCTGACATTTGTGGAGTAGTTGCGATGACTTCGTCATCATCGTTGTGATTTATTATTGGAATAGAAACTTGGTTGACAATGTCCTCATCAGACATTTGATGGAACACACTTTCTTCTTCATCCATTCCATGATACCAGAATTCCAAATTTTCCAAACTAATCTGCGTTTTGATAGCAACTTGCTCTATGACTTCCGAAGTAACACTGATTTGGGAAGTGGTGACAATTTCTGACCATAAGTTTTTCCATGACCATGTAATGACTGATGGGGGCAATGCATTCCAAAATTGACAAAGGAAGAAAACAAAGTCTTTAATGTTTTTTCTTTAGGTTGGTCTCTTGATATGGCTGTCAGCAACAGTTTTTTCTTCTAGTCTTGTTTGACAAACTGAATGATATGCTGATCCTGATCCATTGGTTGTATTAGTGCAGTGCAGTTTGGTGGAAGAAACATCGCAGTGATACATTTATCCTCTGTTGTTAGTTCTTCTTCAGGTGGATGACTGGAAGCATTATCAAGAAGCAGTAATGCCTTTTGAGGTAGATTATGATCTTTCAACCATTTCATAACTTCTGGCATGAAGCATTCATCAAACCATTTTTTGAAAATGTCTTTTGTCATCCACGCTCTTTTTTGTCCATAATAGTGTACAGGTAAATCAATGTTTTTGAATGCTCATGGATTCTTTGATTTTCCAATGACCACCATCTTTAGCCCGTATGGGCCTGAAGCATTAGCACAAGGTAATATGGTTACACATTCTTTGCTCACCTTATGTCCAGGTACAGATTTGTCATTATGTGAAACAAGTGTTTTGCTTGGTATTACATGCCAAAAAAGCCCTGACTCATCTGCATTGTATACCTGTGAAGGGCAAAGATCTAAATCTCACTTTTTGTAAAAATCTCAATTTAAATGGCTGTATAGCAGGATGCATCATTAGAGAGTTTTTCTCCTGTTAGTCATCAAAACGTATTCCATGACGACTTTTCAAGCATTCTAACCATCCCTTGCTATCTACAAAGTCATCTTTTTTTGTTATCTCCATGTAAAAAAACTTTGCTTTTATTGCCAATATGGACCCAGAAATAGGCGTACACCTGTTTCTTTCCTGAAGAAACCACATGTACAAAGCCTCTTTAGCCTCTGGATTTTCAGCTTTCATGAGTCTGTCTCTTGCCTGGCCCACAGTCAGTGGTTGACACAAACTTTTGAATGTTCTCGTGGTTCTTTTTAATATCATAAATCGTGGAACGTCCTACATCATATTCATTTGCCAAGCTACTAAAAGATTCATTACGATTTAGGTAGTTGAGAATCTCACTTTTTTCTTTAATTGTTAATGTTTTGTGCTTCTGCTTTTTGGTTTGCAAAGCCATTATGACACATGTAGATATGCATTGTACGATGCGACAGCAATATATGAATGCCCACGATCACATTCACAATCAAACTGAGACAATACGCATAGAGTTTCAGAGGCAACCTTCTTTTTGAGGCTACTGCCTCTGCCGAAAAATGTAAAAACAGGTAGAGCATCCTCTGGTGTTATTGCCATTATCATATTAATATGTTTAAGTAAAAAATAATAAAAAAAGCATGGCAAAAAGATGGACTAAAGCAAGGTTTTACCTTTGTAAAGAAGTTGTGTTTATATTTTTGTAAATATATTAAATGTTAAGCATGCATTGACAAAGATTTGCCGTAATAAATGTGCTTTGTATGTACTGTTATTAGCATGTCAGATTATAAGGGATGCCTGATTACTGCGAGTCTACTGTATATTGTAATTTTCTTTCTACAGTGGGATTATTTGAAATTTTAAAAAAATGTTAAATTAGTTTTGTTCTAAATGAGGAAATATTTTATTCTAATTTATTATAGCTTAGCAGAAATTTATTTTCATTTTGGAAAAAAAATTAAACTGTAGGAAAATAAGAAAGTGTGAAATTCCATAGGAACTTAAAAATTATGTAAATTAGAAAAATTACAAAGTTTGGTTCTAAGTATGGAAGTTATAATGAATGGCATGGCACAATGTTAAAGTACAGTATTACAAAATAAGAGAAAGTGATTTATAACTTATAAAAAATGGTCTTATATAGGGTGACCATGATTTTCTGGCATACTTAGTTCCAAAATCTACCAGATCATTTTGTTGGACTGACCAAAGTCACATTACAACAATTCAACAGTCTATCCGAGACTGCTACAAGCTTAAACATGTATTAAACGTGGTCTGATCTTTAAATTTGATACCTATGACACTTATCTATGGTCATTCAGTGAATAGGTCTGGTGATAATGAGAATTGTGAATGCATTTTTTGTAAATTTTTTCAGAATTAAGAGCTGCTGGACAGTTGGGTACTGGAAAATCAGTGTGAACCTGTACTCCAGGGTAATTCATTTGGGAATTGTTCAATGCATGATTGCAATGAATCATGCATTGAACATGTTTTGAATCACATGTAATGTAAAACATACCTTGGTCAACTGCTTCATCATAAAATTAAGAATCATTCCATTTGTATGTCATACTCATCATTTTTTTTTTTTTATTCATTTCTGAGTGAATCATCCCGTAGTTTGTTATTTACATTTTTGTTTAAATCAAATGTTTTGGAATCATTTGAGTAATTATTCAAGAATTTCATTAAATTAAGGTTCCATCTTTCTTATCCTGATTTGTTGAGATAGTGCTTCTTCATAAATGATCATGTGCTGTGCAAAGCTCTAATAAATCAAATTCTTTTCTTATTCCATAACAAAATTGCTCCGATTGTATTGTTTAAAATATAATTTTTTCTGAAAGATTTTGAGATACTCTTACAAAATATAATTTTTCTACTTTAAATTGACAGATATATAGCTTCTGTTTTAACACAATTGACATAAAATTTGCCAAATTTCTACAATAGAATTTTGTAAACTTCTACATACATTTTTCTTCAATGTAGCAAAATATTAAAATTTGGGTTCTTTGAATTCTCAAAGCTATAGATATAACTATTAGTATCTTTCAATCACAATTTGTCAAATGTATTATAAGATTAGGATCTGAAAATAGGATTTAATATATTGTTTTACAATAAATTTTCCATATTTTAATAATATAATCGTTTCATTCAAAATTTATACAAACAATTTTATTGATGTTGTTGAAATTTGAGACTTCTGCTATGCTGTGTGAGAAATTATGCCCAGATTAAACTTTTTAACTGGCTGATTTTTATTAATAATGATCATAACTTTCAAGTAAATTAGCTACGTAAGAAAGTTTAAAATAATCAGAAATTTACTGTGTATAATGATTGTAATTATTTCTTGTTAAAAATAATAAAAATCTTTTAAATACTGTTTTGAAATTTTGAGTTTTTTGAATAATTTATCTAATTAGATCACTCTGAGAAAACATAAAAGTAACTAATTAACTTTTATTAAATAATAATTCCTTTTTCCATCAAGTACAATAGACTCAGCTCTGAATATTGTAGTAGGATTTAAAAAAAACTATATTTATTTGTGATGTAATTATTTCACTTTTTAAATTGCATTACTATACAAATTTCATTTAAAAACATTCACTCTTCCAAATTTCTAAATTTTCCTCGCATGTGTTTTGGGAGAACAACAACACTAGGACAAGGAACCTGACCCAGAATCTCACACATGCAGTGCCTGTCGCATCCTATTCCAAAGTTGGCAGGATTGTCTTTCTTCTCTTTCTGCTTTTCTGCTTCAGCCAGGATGTCACTGAAATAGAGATCAGAATTACCAGAAATACAAATTTTCTTTATTTTTAATAATAAACTTACTCAGATTTGCCTAAAATTCTTATTAAGTGGTTCAAGATTTCGTCTTTTGTCTTTCCTTCTATATCCATAACAATATCTTTTGAGTCCTCTGAAAAATTTACAAGATATATTTACTTGAATCAAGACACCTTAATTCCTACATGCCCATCCATACATTAATTTGTCTCAAATTGTCTATTAAAAATAATGCAATAAATACTGATCTGTTGACAAGTAAGTTATGAATAACTATTCTGTGGTAGCAAAATCAGAAATGTTTTCATTTGCCTTGTCTTCTGAAATCAACACTAATGTTTTACTTATATGCGTGTAGTTTTAATTTTAGTTTTAGTAACTAAAACTACACTAATCAACACTGATCTGATATTCACATCTTCCCAAATGCAATCATATTTGGTGCTGTATAAAGTATCAGAATGCAACATTTTCTGAAAGTGCTGCATGACTTTTTGTGGGATTTTCATCCAAATACTTACAATGTTACCATGATAGACTAAGAAGATTGAGCTAAGTTTATCTCTATCATTAAGAAGTAATGAAATTTGTGACAGAGAAACAAGAGAGGTTATGAATTAATTATGACATATTATATTGAATGTAAGACTCGCCCATTTTTGGAGATACTAAAACTAAAAATCTTACATTTGAGTAAATATGGTATATTTCTTTCACAGATATTCTTAATATGATAGATGCAAATTTGTTATTTTTTAATACATTAAAAAACATTAAAGTTTCTCAATAACACAAGTATAGTCATATCCCAAGTTATATACTTTACATAATGCATTCTATCAAATAGCAGTAATATCATGAATTGCCATTTCCTGTACATTTTTGTTTTATTTAAAGAATGTTTCACCTTGTGGAATGTTTTTGAGCAATGACCGATATGGTTTCACAACCAGCACTCTGCAGAGAATATCTTTGTTAAATTGTGTGATACTCTAAAGCAGGGGTCTCAAACTAAATGTATGTATATCAGATGCCATATTCAATATTATTCGGTAAACCATAACATACCATAATTAAAAACAAGGGTTCTAATAAAGGCCAGGCCTTTATGACTTTGTAAATCATCAAGGTTGCAGGCCAGATATGAAGCCTTAATGATCTCTGCTCTACAGAAAGGAAAGATGATGATGATGTCTCTGTTAATATTTCTAGATATCAAAAGGCACAATTAATAATTTGTGGTGGGCCTCAATTTTAAAACTTATCATAGATATCAAAGTGCCAAAATATTTTCTGCTTGTTCAAAGATTTCTTAAAGGATAAAACAGCTGAGCTTAAATTGGACTTTGTTAAAAACTTGCTACCTAAATAAGAGCTGTCTTCAAGGCTCAGTCTCTGGACTCCTACTCTGGAATGTTGTTATAAGCAACTTACTAATTAAATTATCAGAATGTTTGTTTGTTGGTTATAAAATCAGCTATCATTGATGATTTTCCAAATTTTATTAAAACCCAGACATTTTTAGTCTTTGCCCAGATGCCTGGACACATGGCAACACTTGAAATGGATGAAGCGTCATATTGGCGGGGATAGCTAAGTCTGATCATGATAGGAGTAGAAATATATGATGGCTATATTTGTTTGTTTTATCACAAGATGGTAGTAATCTGGGGTATGACTATAATTATAAATTTTTTCCCTCTAGTTAATTGATGACCATTGTCCTAGTCTCTCATGCCAGAAAGATCTTATTAAAAATTATTCAAAACAGATTGGAACCTATCAAGAATTTTGAAATGTCTGATGTACAGGCTAGCTTCAAATCTGGTTGAGATACCCTTGACCAGATTTTTAACATTAGAAGAATAATGGAAGAATTTCATAAATATTGGAATCTCAAAAATTTTTTCTGTTTTATTGACTGTAGCAAGGCATTTAACTCAACCATTTTAGATGGTACACAGAACAATGAGAGTACCAGAACAAATCATAGTTTTGCTAAAAGATAATCTGTATACAGAACAAGAGGCATGGTAGGAACAAAGGCTGATGAGACTGATATAGTCTGTGGGCACCGCTGCCTTCAACCCATCATGAAGGGCAAGATGTGACCATTAAGATTATTTATCTTCCTATTGTCATGCATGGATGTGAAAGCTACACACACAGAAAATACAAATAAAAGAAACTGGATGCCTTTGAAGACTCCTGAGGATATTGTGGACATCAAAGAAAACAAACATCTCAATCTTCTAAGCCAAGGATTGGCAAATGTTTTTGATTGTCGACCCCCTACAAGTTTTTGAAACCTCACATCAATCCCCCATCAAAAAGTTTGTGTTACAAGCAAAAAAAAGCACTTACTATTTTAATACATTTCTTTTAATTTTGCAATTTTTTTCATTTATTGTACATTTGTTAATAATAATTTTTGTAACTGACAATCAATGAGACGGATAAGAGGCAAAAGGAGAAATGGAAGACCCAGAGTGGAATATCTCGACAAGTTATTACAGAAAAAGCCTTACCAACAGATAAAACAGCTAGCTAAGTGAAGAGAGAAGCTATAAGACTGCATACATTCATGTTTGCTCACCAATCATTGGTTGAGGAGAGAGGGAGAGAGAGAATAACAAACTAAAAGCAATCTCTCCACTTTTTCGTAGATGGCACATCTTTGTTTCTCAGATGTGATTTTTGTTACTCCTTTATCTGCTTGAGTCTTCTTGATTATATCTTTCTTAGCTAAGTTTGTATCTACTGTAGACATGTCGAAGTCATCTGCCTACAATATCAGACATCTGCTCACTCTCTACCTTGGCTATTATCTCTTGCTTAGTTTCTATAGTGAACACAGTTCTTGATACTCCACTCTTTTAGACCCTATAATATTATCAGTTTTTTAAATAAAAAGTTCAGAAAAGTATGTGCAAAAAAGGTTATGTATACAACTGTGAAAATTTTGTTCCATAAGTCATGTATAGATGACATTAAAATATAGTTTTACAAATTTTAAACTCAGTATCACTTTTTCTTGTGTTTGTTCTGTCAGGTGTTTGTTAACCAATCATCCACTGTATTCTGAATAAATGAAAAATGCTAAACAATTCAAGAAGCCTTACAGGTTTCTATAAGGGTTCTGGAATTGTTTAGCAATTTTAGTTTAGTGGAACTGAATGTTAAAAGGACTAATAACAAATTGCAGTTTGAATTTAAATAATTTGAGTTTTTAATAAAGTTAATATTGCAGTTTATGATAGCTTTGCTTTTCCAAAATATATCAAACGGATTTGCATTTGGCAGAAATAAATGAATAAATGAACAAACTACAGCCTGAAGGAAACAACTCAATTCCAGTGGCATGCAGTGACATTTGATGATAGGGAAACCACACTGACCTCAGATAGAATCATTGGAAGCACTGTACGACATTTTTGTGCATAGCATGCACGAACTAAACCACGTGAGGTCGATGCTCAGTAAAGAGGAAGTGCAAATGCATGTAATCTGGCTACTTTACACAATTCAAATATTTTTTCATGTAAGCTGTTCCATATTTGATAATACAGCGCTTCCATTGGGCAGCATCCTATTGTATATTCGAATATACAATAGCAATCTTATCATTTTCACACGTAATATAGAAATTTGTAATAAGATACATAATGCGGTTATAATAAAATATAAATTTTAATTAATTCAAAGCACGTTAAAATACGAAAATAATCGCACAATACGTATTTATATGTTAGAAAATACAAGGGAAATGGCACTTCCACAGCTTTCACAGACTGCACACCACCGATCAATTCGTTACAGTCAAAATTAACAAATTTGATATCGGATAGACACGGGAAGATTACTCGAGAACAAACATCTTCGACATTCGGTAAATAGGGTATAAGTTATGGCATTCACGCAATTTCTATAACACATTAAAGAAAAGATAAATAAAAACTTACCAAACCAACACCTAATAAAAGGATTCGGTGTCATCTCGTTAAGAACCACCACTTGAATGCTAGGATTTTTATACTGTAGTTGGGCCAAATGCCAAAAAACAAAATCCCTATAATAGAAATATTTAAATGCATGTTATTTCAAGTAACTGGAAGAAAATAGTCTCAGGGACAGTCATTGTTCGATTATTTGCATTTTTCACTGGATGCTTGCCTCGTGGTGTTTAAAACAGAACTATTTTATGCGGGTTGTTTGAATCATTCGTGTGTATTGTCAACAGTAAAGATGCATAGCAATAGAAAAAGAAAGCTTTCTGTTGCATTCCAAATTGCAATTTCAGAGCCATACGAGAGCCCAATGTAAGTTTTTGTCTATTCCCATGTGAAAAACAGACGATTATTCAGAAATCGGAATGCGAGCTCATAAATATAATCGACGGAAAGACTATTAAGAATTGGCAAAAAGTTTCCCGATCGTTCAGCTTTATACGAACAAATTATGCCGTCAATTTTAGATTTTTCCTTAACGTTTAAAATGCCAGTAATTTTGCGTGGGACACAGGGTCGGATTTAAGCATTTCGAGGCCCCAAGCCAAATGCCGCGTCGTGCTCCTTACCGAATCGGTAACCCGTCACATTTTTAGAAGTCAATCATAAAAAGAAAAGAATTAACATAAACATATTAATTAAATTAACTTTTTATTTTGTTTAGTATTTAAAGTATATTTTGTTGGTTTGTAAAAAAAAATTTATTAGAAAATTTGACTTCAATTTTCTTTTGAGGTCCTAAGCAAAAAGGTAACACGGCTCTCTTGTAAATACGGCCCTTAATGTCAAAGCTAATGCTTTTTAAAACAAAGAGCACAATTATATAGAACGATCTCGCTCATTTGTTTCTATAATATCATATGTAATGACGCGTCCGTTAGCAATAATTGTTCCCATGAATTTCTCGATAAACAGCTACAAGCAGCATATATCATTATATCGGACTGTAATATACAATTAATTTTATGTCGACAAGCCACCCACATAAAGTAGCCATTTTGTAAAAATGCAGCGCCCTCTATAGTTCACGAAAAACGCGAATACTATCTTTAAGCTTAATCTAACGTATATCAGGATGTATTTTTTTTATATAGCATTATATAAATTTAGTTACGTACCGCGACAAATTACGACGATAAATGAAGAAATAATAATAATAACAAATAAAATCAAACAAAGTAGGAATGATAATTATATAAATCAGCAAGCGAAGCAATGAGTGTCAAGATGGCGCCGGTTAGTAAAACGGAAATTTCGATTTGGCGATACGTTTTATCGAATGTAACAAAAAGAATTATGCAGTTAAGAAAATGTGTCAATTAGATCCACTCTAGCGAAATAAAAGACTTAATATAAAGACAAAAAACACACTTATTCTCTCACCTGGCACCTTGGTGAAGATCGCCGTCGCGATTGAAATTAATACTAAATATCTTAACTCGATCTTTAAAAACTAATCTTCCTTTTTGCAAATACTGTAAAGTGCGCCTAATCGGCGCGGGTCCCATTTTGAAAGGCATTTTTTTCCTACTTAAATGCTTCCGCGGTAATCGAGTAGCTCGAGCTTCGAACAACGTGCTCGGAAGACACGTGACCCACAATCAATCACGTGACCCGCTTCCAGTGCGGCATTTTTCGAAATTGAATGGCCGTCCGAGTTATAAAAATGATATTTGTTTGGTTTTATCATTTCGTGATTTGTTTTTAGCGTGTTTCGAACAATATAAAGTAAATGGAAAACGAGAGAAAAGTGTGTTTTATTTATGATAATGATTATTTAAGAGAAATGAACAGATTGCCCAGAGTGGAAGGTCGAGTAAGTCTCGTATTTCTCTTGTCAATTTCATATTTATGTAAGGTTTGTTTCTATTGGTTTTTATAAATGATAAAAGCTACCAATTAGTTTAAATGCATACAATTTATTTTAAAATAATAGAATTAAGATATATTTCTTAAGTATTCGACAAATGCACTCAAAATAAATATGTAGAGGTGGCATCACTCTACCAAAAATTACATAAAAATTTGGCTATTTTGAATACAGCTTACTTATTTACTTATATCGTGTGTTAATAATTTTTTGATATTATGCACTAATATGTACTGGTACGTTAGTCTTTGATTTGAGAGTTTGTGTTGAGGGACATTTTGTGGGGAGTGGATTAAATTCTTTTGATATTTGGAATTTGCTTACGTCTGAAGTTGATGATTGTATTCTGCATTAATGCAATTAAATCTTTGATTTGTGTGAAATTAAATTATTTCGTTTGGTCAGTCTTTCAAACTGGTTTACGTAGTTTCGTAAGTGATGCGACGGAGCGTGGTGGATGCTAGCAATTGGAATGCGACGCGCGACACCTGTGTAGGAGTGTAACTCGCAAATATCCTTAATTTTAAAAATAATAAAAATAGTGACAAGAAACACTCAAAAAATCTGCATGTATTTTATTGTACCTACTTCAATATTAGTTTTGTATTACAGTGTTATTGTGATAAACTATACACACTTTTTACAGATTACACCAAAGAAAAAATTTTTTCATATTATTTAAAATATTTTTTAAACAAGAGAGAAAATTCTCTCTACATGATAGGATATGATTAGTGCGTATTTGAATTCACTGATTTCGCTTGGAGAATATTGCTGTGACATACAAGTTCTGGATAGAATTTTTGCAATTTTATTTAATGTTAACCAAAATGGATTTGTTTTCGTATTTTGCTGCAGTTGTTGCTGTAACTTTGCCGGGAGCTTTATAGAAAGTATTCTTAATTTCATAGATGATATGACGGCTCTCGCCAGCAGCGGTCCTTTGTTCGCCGGGTTGGCAATATGATATGGAATACGGTATCCCCAAAACTAAGTATGACTTGTCTACTTGGACTTTCCTTTTAACTAGGACTTGTCATATTGTTATAAGAAAACGAGTTGTAATCAATGTATCTTAACTGGACTAGAAGCACGTATCTTAATCACCAAAATTACTTTGGATGTATGCCAAATCCACTTTAACTGAGCAGCGAGACATTGCAACTTTTACAATCCCAATTACTGCAGCTTAATCAGGATCAAATATTTGAATCACTTGAAAATGAAGTAAACAAAATCAGAACGAAAAGTTAATTTAACAAATGTATTTTCTCTCATTAACCTTATCCATTGCTTCAATATGGTTTATATAGTAGAATGCAGTTTCCAACTATGTACTCCGATGGCTATTAGTGATTGGTTGCAGGAAAGCAAATTCTCATATTTTCAGCTAATTGATAGCAACCAGGAGCAATGCAGGTGATATGGAACATTTTTGGAAAGGCTTTAAGAATCCCCCATCCTTCAGTACATAGGAGATACTGTTAATCATGAAAAGAAGACATACAAGAAAGTCATGTTTGTGTGATTTTATTTAGAAATGAGGAATTATTTATTGTGACGTTATCACAATGCTGGGCTGCAATTTTTAATTTATTTAACTAAAAATATATGCTCTCCACTTCAAATTAGTAGTTGCTTAACCCTGTACATCATACTTTTCCTTTAACAATAGAGCCGGGAAAAATTTTTGAATTGAAATAGCGTGACTTCCGTTTGCATCAGTATTTCATATATGGTTAATCAGTACCCCTAAGGTTTTCATATCTGGTCTCATCTTCCATCTGTCTAATTCTGTTCTTGAGATTAAGGAAAGACAGACTGACAACAGTGGGAATTTATGGGTCCACAATTTTTTCAAATTGTAGCCCAATGCAAAAACTTTTCTCTGTATTTTGCATGCCATAATAATTCTGGATGAAAATAGAAAGTATTAATTACACAAAATTAATATAATTTCCATAAAATATAATTAAACTTACCAGAGTTTCTATAAAATTCAGATTTTAAAACTTCTTGATTTTTTTTCCTGATTTTTCTTATTACTTCTACAGTTTTCCCTGACATATACTGAATATTAAAACATCTTTCAACAATAAGTTAAAACTACTTAATGCACTTTTATTTCATCTTTATTTTTACATTTTACTACACAATGTTTTCATAGCTTTAATTTTATTTTCAATTTTTCCAAGTTTCACTGCTGTGTCCTATGTTGACCAGATCTAATTAGTGACTGTCTTTTAGCATAAAACTTGATATTTATTGTAAACATATATGCTAGTAATTTCAACAGAGCATATTTGTTATCTTCAGGTGAAAGATTCTACATAGAATGCTGAATGGATTCATACAGTAGTTCATATATTGGAACATATTTAGTATATATTGGAACATATTTCAAATTTGAATAAAATGTAGAACAACAATTAATGAAGACAACAAAAACTAATGAAAAGGTAATAAAAATACAGTATATGAAATAAAATTAATAGTCTGAATGTTGTCAACAGATGTGTGAACTGTTACTTGTTAAGCAAGGGGAAACAGCTACTTCAGGATTTTCTTTACACTTTTAAATATAAGTACCAATAGGTCATGCACTTCAAGTGTGTGTCAATTACAGATGTTAGTAGCAAGGATTTATGTTGATTTCCAAATAAATAAGGTGTTGAGATCTGTGTATAAATATCAATAAATATATTTTTTTATTCAAGACATCAAACTATTACTTCTCTAGCTAATGTGTGTGTATATATATGTATATATATATATATATATAACAGGAAAAGCAAGATAATCAATCAAAAAATGACCCTCCAAGATTTACATTTTTGGACTTTATACCCTGAAGTGTTCAGAAATGCCAAAAAAAAAATTTGTTTTTCTGTGTGTATTGGGTACCCACTTTTTTTTGTTCACCCGCTTCGAATTCCTGTGCCTTTTTGTTTAAAATTTTGCAGGGATGTTTGTGTTTTGTGTATTAGAGGGATTGATGCTAATAAATTTTGATGGTTGAAGATCCAGTGGGTGGGAAGATAGAGGAGGGGGATCACTTACACTATCTTAGTGAGTAGAACTTAATTCATTGGACTGCAATTTGAAAAAATTGTAGATCTACAAGCTATAGATCTACAATGTCTTTCCTTAATCTGAAGAATGGTGTTAGATAGATGAAAGATGAAACCAGATATGGAAACTTTAGGGGCAGGAAGCCCCAATTAATTATATATGATTCAAAAATTTTCCCTTAAAAAGTGGTAGATAGATGACCACTACTAATTTGATATATTTTAAATTAAATAAATTAAAAATATGATTAAAAATTGCAACCCGGAATAAATAATTGCTCATTACCATTTACAGTTGTTTATAAACATCATCTCTATCCTCAAATGTAAGTGTTTTGCCATTTTATAATAGTTAATAATATAAAAAGTTTTAAAATAAAATTTCACATCTGATGGCACCACATACAGTTTTAACATTTGACTGGGAAAGTTATGCAACTTTTTTTTCCTAGCTCTGAAAATTGTGTATTAAAATAATCCAGATCACCAAGATGATATAAAATGTGTGTTTACAAATGTCATAAAATGCACACAGCTTAAATATTTATTGAAATCTTGATAAAATTTCTCAATTACAAAAAAAACAGCAAAATACTCACTTGAAAAGAAAATTCTTTTGTCCATTTTTTAAAAGGACATCTTTAGGCTGGTGTTCTAATATGGAATTGCACAATTTTTGAACAGTGTAACTTCTACATTGCTGCTGCTGATTGAAAGTTACATGACCACTGCTGATAGAAATATATATACAATCTTGCAGGGATTGCAAGATTTATGATGAATGGATATATATTTTCCACAGAAAATATTGGTGTTTTTAATGAATTATCATATTCACTATGCAGAAAGAAATTAAAGAAAAAAATACATTTAAATATTTTCAAATGATAAATTCTTCTTTTACAGAATGTGTTAAATATTTCAATCAGCTTCTCTATATAAAATATTTTAATGGTTATATACAGTCTGATTGGTTTTGACTAAAATCACCAAGCAAAATCTGCATAATCCTGTATATATTTTAACACCTTGTTTTAGATTGTTTTTAAAGATTGTTTTTTTTTTATTGTACAGTGGTACCTCTCAGGATACGAAATTAATTCTGGAAGGTATAGGACATTCTGGAGAACAATGCTAACTTAAATGGCTGTAAACAGGTTTCAAGGGTGCCAATACAGTCAATGTACAATAGTACCATCACAGTTCAACTATAATAGTGCTTTGTAAAAATAGTTTTCCTACACCATTTACTGACATGCAGCTTAGACACTAACAGAAGTGGGATTTTGCATCACTCATGCAAAACAATCTGGGTTATTAGTCTCATTTCTCATTCAGATAATCTTATATGTATTATTTCATACACAGTCCATTTGACTATAATATTTATTCCCACTTTTTCACAAATCTAGTGTTATCACCTGTCCGGTTTTTACCCGGATAGTCCGGGAATAGACTCACTGTCCGGGTGAACTACTAATTTTGTCTGGGAATTTCGTGCGCAACCTGTCAACCCTTTTTTTTTTTTTCTTTTTAGCTTCTACTTATACAAATCGTACACATCTCCAATATTGAATACAGCTAAGTCATCTTCTGCATGTCTTCTTTCTTAATTTAGTTACTTACGTTACTCCTACCCAAGTCTCCCTAGTCCCTAACTGTAACTTAGAACCGGCATGCACGTTATTCTTCGCATTGCAAAATGACATTGCACATCTGTCAGGAACTTCTGTTCAAACAAACCTGACCTGCCGTCCGGGTCAGTGATTTTGAAAATGTGGCAACACTACACAAATCACTTTCTAATACCTTTTATCCAAATAAGGTAACAGCATTTGTTTACTGCAGTAAGAAATAATTTTTCTTTAGCATGATAAAACCATAGCCTATTCTTTTGGTATATCTTTGTGCCTCAGACACATGTAGCCCTGTTGTAGCCCAATTTACCAGATCAGGTTAAATTCTGGTTTTTACGAATGTACCGACACAATATGTTTCCTTCCTGTATGTCATTTAGTGTATTGTAGAATTGACTGAACTTTAAGCTTGGGCATTTCAATTGTTTGGTTATTTGAATGTATCTTTGACTTTTTTTTTTACTTCAATGAGATTTGTCTTTTTAGATCTTCAGAAAGCAGCTTTTATTGAGGCATTTTATCTAGTTAAGAACGTTGCATTTATCAGTCTGCAAACAACTCCACTACAACTTCTCAGTAGCCTTTCTTAAATACTGTATGTGCTGTCCAGTAAGGTTTTACACAACATTTGCATGCCAGTATGAACTATTTTGAATGCTATAGACTACTAAAACATTGAAAATTATTTGAGTTTTCTTAGCAGTTTCTGTTTTTCTTATAACAGATATGTAAATTATGTTTTGAAACTTTTTTCAGAATCATAATCATAAACTTCTAGTAACATCTATCCTACATAAGGTGAACTTACTGTTTCAAGAGAAGAGTACAAACTCAATTCACTACATTCTGAGCTGAAATTTACAAATATTAAGTCATACCTTCCACACTATTTCCAGCAGAAACCAGTTAATGAAACTTAATGTAGTCAAAAACATTAGTTTCTTTAAGTTTTATTAAATTGTTTTTGCTGGAAATATTGTGGAAGATGTGACTTAATATAGAGTACAAACTCCTTTGCATTTGACTTGTTTTGTTTTCTAGATACAAAATAAAGTTTAAAAATAAATTTTGATTTTCAGGCTTACATAGTGCATGAATTGATTAAAGCTTATCGTCTGTTGGAGTCAATTACTATTCTGAAACCATGCCAAGCAACAGAAGAAGAATTAAAATCCTTTCATACAGAGGAATATGTAGAATTTTTGAAGAAAATAGAAGATATTAGTGACTTAGAGAAGGAAGACTTGTTGAATATGTGTGAACAATTTGGATTAGGTAAAATAATAGTGAAAATAAGCAATTCAAAGTAATAGAGATAAGAAAATTTTTAATTATTTTACAAACTTTAAAATGCGAATTTCATCATTTAAAGATTATGACTGTCCTGTGGTAAACAAACACTATACCATGGTGACTTGGCAGGCTGGTGGGACTTTGACTGCAGCTCGTGCATTACTGAACAGTAATTGTACCATTAGTGTTAATTGGGAAGGTGGTTGGCATCATGCTAAAAAGTAATAAATTTATTGTGTTTGTTTATGTATTAAAAAAGAAATGACACTTAATCTAATTTTTTATAAATAATTTTTACTTTAGGGATGAAGCTGCAGGATTTTGCTATATTAATGATCCTGTACTTGCCATTTTAGAGCTACGTTCAAAATTTGACAAAGTACTCTATATAGATTTTGATCTGCATCATGGTGATGGTATGTATCTTAACATTTTTATTAATGTATTTAATTGTGCTTTATACCTATAAAACTTTTATTTAGGTGTAGAAGATGCATTTGCCTTTACAAAGAAAGTAATGGTTGTATCTTTCCATAAATATGGTGAAGGTTTCTTTCCTGGTATGTTACTAACTTATATTTTGAAGTTCTATAATTTTAACTATTTTATGTTTAAAATATTTTAATATATTTAATTTAAGCATTAAAAAAAAAAGATGCATAGCATTAAGTAGTTGCAATCTCTTCTTCCCTAATGCTGGTTGATCCTGTTGTGAGTTGAACTTTCAGGTAAAGGAAAAATTGTGGTTTATTTTAATGTTCATGTGCTGGTCTTCATATTGACAAATCCATAAAACATCATCTGGTATATGAATTAATTTCTCTTTCATTTAAATATGTACAAACAACAGTGAATATGAATATATCATGTAATTTTGAATATTTAGTGTCTTTAGAGTTCTTTTTTTTTTATTTATATCAAATATCCCACTTGGTGTTTTTAATTGTCGTACAGAGTATTCTTGAGAATATACTACTTTCTAGTCAACACTTATTTTCAAGTTAGATAAATAGTAAATTTTCCTACCCCATTTACTGACATGCAGCTTAGACACTAACAGAAGTGGGATTTTGCATCACTCATGCAAAACAATCTGGGTTATTAGTCTCATTTCTCATTCAGATAATCTTATATGTATTATTTCATACACAGTCCATTTGACTATAATATTTATTCCCACTTTTTCACAAATCTAGTGTTATCACCTGTCCGGTTTTTACCCGGATAGTCCGGGAATAGACTCACTGTCCAGNAATGTTTTTCTGTAAAACTTTGTAACATTATCTGTAAAGCCAGTATAATAAGTCCTGATAATAGAAGATATGAAATTATAGACAAAAATTTATATTTTACTTTTTAATATTTGTATGTATTAATGTGGGGTTTAGATGAGTAACATTCCTAAACCGTTAAGACAATAAATTTATGATGGGTTGCGGGGAAGACGAGGAGAACAAGAGAGAGGGATGAGTAAGGGGAGAAGTGAGGGAGATGACAGTTGGTGATGGTGCTAAAGTAAGAAAGGACAAAAAAGACGTTACGAAGATGAGAAGATTATTGTCATTTCTAGTTCTCTATTTCAAATTAATTTTGTGAGCTCATCCGGGATATTGAGAGAAATTCATATGAGAACTTTTAGAAGGGCAATGGAATCGACAAGATGATGGAGTTAGTGACACTGCAATGAATGACAAAGAACTATGACTGACTGTTGTAACTAAGGACAATACAATGACGGATGTGAAATATCTTAAGTGTGCTGATCTGAAAAGTGAACTAGGATGATGAAAATTGAAAACCACGGGTAGCAAGAGAGAGTTGATGCAAAGATTGGAGGTGGCACTTTTGATTGAGAATGCCAGAGACAATGACGTGCAAAGCGACAACAATGCTGACAAAAGTGAGGACAAAGATAGTGATATTAGGCAACATAGAAGTGAATACTCTAAGCCAATGTTTACCTTTAGAGATGTTGATGAATCCCTTTAAACGTTCAGTGGTGATGATGGAAAGAATGTCATTAAGTGGATCTCTAATTTTGAAGACATGGCATAAATGTGTAACTGGAATGGCATGCAGAAGATAATTTACACAAAATGACTACTCAGAGGTTCAGCAAGAATGTATGTAAACTATGAACAATGTACTAAATCATGGAGAGCATCAAAAGAAGCCCTTTGTGCCGAATTTTCTCCAAAGCTGAACAGCAGGAAGCAACTTTCGATGGAAGTGAAGCATCAAAATGAAACTTATCAGGAATATATGTATCGGATGATTGAAATTTCGTCACAAATTACGATTGAGGAAGAATCAGTGATACAATACATCATCGATGAAATTCAGGATGAGCAAGTAAGTAAAACAGTTCTTTATGGTGCTACTACTCTCAAAGAATTTCAGCAAAAGATGTGAATTTATGAAAACATGAAATCAACTCGTAAGTTAAATGCTAAAATGATGATGGGTAAGAAGCTAGAGTATGAGATTAAGCCTAATAATTCTTATGGAGATGAAAAACGTTGCGATAACTGTGGCAGGAAAAACCATGTGAGTAAAAGTTGTCCGGAGAAAGACAAAGGAATGAAATGTTTTGGTGTAATAATTTTGGTCACATTTCATCTAAATGTCCTCAAAATGTTGAGAAAAGAAGTTGTGAAGTAAAGGGAAAAGAATTTAAGTCAAAGCCTGTAAAAGAAGTCAAAATAAGGGAAGTGAGCTTTATAGCACTTAGATTCAGGAAGTGATATAAATTTGATGAGAGCTGATGATTACGTAAAGATGGGCACACCAAAATTAACTGGAAATTCATTAGAATTTGATGGAGTTAGTGAGCATAAGAGTTCTACACTGGGAAGTTTTTGACTGTAATAAGTGTTGACGGAGACCAATTTTCAATTCTCATACATGTGGTTCCTAGTTCATTCCTTGCTTATCAGTTATTGTTGGGAGCAGAATTTCTGAAAAAAGTTCATATCAGTTTAAAAGAAGGTTGTGTTGAGAAGATTATCAAAGCAAAAAATTCAGAAGTAAACATTTCAGACATATACAATATTGATCTTGCCTGTGTAGATAAATACTGGTGTTAGCTTGAGCCATATCAATAATGCAAAATATAGAGGAGAACTTCTAGATCTAATAAAAAACTACAAAGCAGCCAGAGAACAAGAAACAGTGATCAAAATGAACATTATCTTAAAAAATGATGTTTCAGTTTGTGAATGTCTATGGCTATCTGCTAGTGAGAAGGCTGAAGTTAATAAAGAGATGGAAGAATGCTTACATGAAATATCTGAACAACTCACAGACGATGGAGGAAAAGTAGAAGCAGCACAAGGAATAACAAAACTTTGTGACCAGTTAAAAGCAGAAAGAGAAGCTTTACATAAATCTTCAGAACCTAATCATTGTTACAGCAACATCATGCATCAAACATTAAGCAAACAGCAGAAATTGCATTTTCTCAGGAGAAACAGATGGAAGTTTGTGGTGCCTTTTTGATAGTTGGTGATACACAGCAACGTGTTGATGATCATTCAATGGAAAAACAGCATGTTGGTTATGCAAGATTAAAATCATCAGGCGGAGAAATTGTTCATAAGAGAGAAAGAGAGAATGAAAGTAACAGGAAGAAGAGAAACACAGACAAAATTATCATAGTAGATTGGATGATTGAAAATGTGACATGAGACGAAGTAGATGCTCAAGAAGTAGAAAACATAGAAGTAGAGATAGATGTTATTATAATAGAAGAGGATATTATAGAAAAAGAGAAAAAATGAAAGTAATATATAAATATAGATCTAGATCAAGAAGTCCTGATCAAAGATGCCTTGAAAATCATACTTGATCATGTGATTCAAAATATTGAAGACAGTCTAGAAGATCTCCAGAAATTAGAGCAACTACAAAAGAGAACATTAAATTAATTAAAAAAACTGCAAGCCGACAACATGAAACCATGGGTTTGTTCAATTAATGAAGTATTCGACTGGTCAGAAGGGGACATTGCGGACGATGTCTGTCTGCTGTCAGGATGGCTGAATGTAGGGTTTAGACAAGTAACATTTCTAAACCGTTAAGACAATAAATTTATGAGGGATTGCAGAGGATGAGAGAGAGAGAGGGACAAGTAAGGGGAGAAGTGAGGGAGACGACAGTTGGTGATGGCGCTAAAGTAAGAAAGGACAAAAAAAACATTACAAAGGTGAGAACGTTATCATTCTACCAAGATGGTTACAAATGCTGGAAGATTATTGTCATTTCTAGTTTTCTATTTCAATCACTATTCCTACATTAATTTATTCATAACAATTTTCTAATTTTAGCTGGTTTTTTTTTTTGCCTTTCTTTGCATGTCATGTAATAGTTTCCAGTAGTAGGTCTACACCATACATTCTCCAATTTTCTCTTTAATTTAACGTTTCATGAAAGGAATTTTAAATTTAATCTTCTAAAGCAACGGTGGGCAACCCCCGGCCCACAAAAAGTTTCTATCTGGCCCGCGAGATGTTTAGAAGAAACTATAAATAAATATTTTTCGATGTAATTCATCTAGTTTAAATTGAATATTATTTTCTGAAGTGTTGTGGACCAATGACAAGAAAAAATAAGGGAGTCATTTCCTTATTCAAACAAAAAATGGGAGAACAGAATTTTTCTAAATTATTTATATCTCATCGCATCATCCATCAAGAAAATCTATGTGCAAAAGCTATGCAATTAGAAAATGTAATGTCTGTCGTATCCAACTACATAGTGCTGTTTTTATTGTGTTTAAAGTCACTTAGATTTTACAAATAGGTGAGCCGTTCACAGCCCGGCACACGCATTTGTAAAATCTAAGTGACTCATACAACATGGAATTCATATAAAACGGAATAATCAACAGTGTTATAGGGGG